GGTTGAAGGATGGGGAATTTAATTCTCCATTGAACAGTCTTTGTTTCATCCCTTAATATTAATTAGTCAGCGAATAAATCAACTGAAAAACATAAAGTAAACATTGAGTACAAGGAGGACAAAAACCCCCCTCCTAACCTGTCCCTATCACAGCAGAATTGCTACTGCCGAGTTACTCACGCACCCGACTCACATTTACCGACAATTCGACCGGGACGCCGCCTTTCCCGTGGGGTACCAACTAACATTTTTGGAGTCAGTCAAACCCCCCGATCAGGGCCTCTACTCAGGTCTATCCTCTTTGGTAATTATGATCAAAATCTCATTCAATGAGCATAGGAATAATCACATGCGCAAATCATTCATTGCAATATGAAAATTTCACAGCTAATGAATAAATTTCACAGCTAACAATGAATCAAAATAAGAAATATTGAATCTGACATGGAAAAAAGGGGATAATGGAAGGGCCACCAATATCACGGCCGCAATTGCGTTAGAAATGTGAAAAGGTTGCCTGAAATAATAATGCAAATCCAAAACTATTGACACTAGGAATATGAAAATTTTAGGGTAGGTCCAATTCCCGATGTGAGCACTCATTAAGAGAACATTTTCAGAAATTAATTAATTCATTAATGAATATATATTTCAGCTTCTTTATAACTTTCATCTCTGAAAAGGTGAATAGAGAATGATTTATAGAAACTTCAAGGAAGTTCGCAAATTCCCTCAAAAATGAGAGAATCGTCAGCTTTTTCATCCAAATGTAGGATAATTTGGGAGTTTTCCAAAAAATTCAACACAATTATGAGGTTTTCTAAAAAAAAATTGATAAAGTTCTCAAATGTTCTAGAATTTTTGGATAAACAATGGGAAAACAATTGAAAAGAAAAGGCGGAATTCCCTGAACAAAACTGATGTGAAGGAGTCACGTGACTGACTACTGCACTCTGATTGAAATGAGAAAGGAGAACCAATTTGAGAAATACCTCGGGGTTTTACAACAATTGCACAAAAATTCTCAAAAAAAGTACTACTCAGGCAGACTTTCATAATAGAGGGTTAAACAATTGATTAACCGAGACGCATTGTTACCATTAATCTTCAAATATGAAAAAATTCAGTTGAAAATCCTAACGAATTCGCTAGACAATTCTATTGGATTTCTATAGAACTTTCTATTACCTTCTGGCCATTTCTATTGAAATGTTCAATAGAAAATATTCTGTAGAAAAACTCAATAGAAATATATTTTTCTATACAACTTATTCTATTGAGATATTGTCTATATGAAACTTCCTCGGCTGAAATTTTCCATGTTTTTTTCACACTATTTTTTCTTTTCTTTTCATTAAGAAAATTAACCAAAAAAAACTTAGAGAATGTGAGCCAAGGAAATTCTACAGAAAATATCTCTATAGAATAAGTTGTATAGAAAAATAGAATTCTATTGATTTTTTCTATAGAGTATGTTCTACTGAACATTTCGATGAAAACGGCCAAAAACTAATAAAAAGTTCAGTAGAACTACAGTAGAATTGTCTAGCGAATTCGCTAGGAATTTCGATGAAATTTTGTCGTATTTCGATGAAATAACGATTTAATAATAAGGAGAGCCGGAGAAGCGAGATCATTCTGTTCATGATTTATTAAAGTAAGACTCCTAAGTTAGGAGGTGTTGTAAGTTCGGAGGGTGATTTGGAACTGAATTGAGGGAGAGTTATTTTGTAGGACATGAGTCTTGGAAAAAGGACGGATCTGAGGAAAATTGAGGAGTGGGGGTTTTTCGAGGCGCCAAATATCTGGGACAAATATTAGGGTCCGTCTGGGGCATTGGCGACAGTCGGAGCCTAATTGCTTCATTTGCGTTATGAGGAAAGTGCGGACTTATTTGGTTAGGATGAGGACTGGATTTGCGACTGTGGAGGATTTTGAGGATATTTAGGAAATTGGGGGTATTTCGTAAGTGGGAAATCAGGAAATAATGTGGGTATACAACAATTTTTTCATGCGTGTTAACACTCAACATAATAGAACGATGGTGAATCATTAATTATTAAGAGGAACAATAAAAAAAAGGCATAATAAAAGAGCATCAACATCGCAGCCGCGGCGGCGCTAGTTATATCAGCTGCTCGCCACTCGACAGTCACTTTTGATATTATTCACGTGATATTATGAATTCTCTGGGTAGTTTTAGGTAAGTATTCACTTATTCACCTTGAAGTATCTCTCCATTCAATTTTCAATCCATATTATCAACTTTTCCATTGATTACTATCTTGAAATTGCAATATTTCAATTCTAACCTGTTAATTTTTTCAGAATTATGTGGAATTCTCTTCGCTTCACCAATTCTCTGAGAAGCCACAGAAATTTCTCATTGAGCACACTTTCAAAGGATTCTAAACCGATATCAAACAACCCAGTATCTGCAGGGGAGCCCTCGAAGACCAATCCGGAGCATACCATAGGTATGAAAAACCATAACTGCATCTGGTTAAATGGTACAATGATACTAATCAAAATATTTTCAGAGCGGAGAGATTTACGAAAAAATGTCACGAAACATTTTTTGTAAAGGAGTTTCTCAGCTTCAAGAAAAAAAAGTTTTAACATTTTCGTCTGTGGTCACTCGTTGATTGTACAGTGTACACTCATACATTTTATATGATTTATGGCGTAAATATCTCAGAAACTAATTATAATGTAGAAAATATCATGAAATAATATTGAATGTAAACTTTTCTCTTCTCTACAAAAAAAAAACGTTCAATATTTACTCCTAAAATTACTCCCTACCGAGGTTGCATAATTCATAACAATTTCACGTCCAACTGAAAGTTTTATGCAGATCATTTCAAGAATATCTATTAAAAAAGTGAAATTCCTCTAAACCTCTCTGTTCCTGAGATTATTCTTAAACAACCTGCAAACTCATAGTCAAGTTTCCACTCATTTCCCTTCATCTCTGGGATTCATCAGATTAATCAACCTCCCATCTAATTTCAGGGGGTTTCAAACACAAAGTCTCAAATTTCGACAAATGGATTCTCGTGACCACGAAGAAATATCCGAGTAAAGACCAAGTTCCCAAATATGTAGCGTAAGTCAATCAATTTTTCTCATCCATTAATTTAGTAATGAAATAGAAAACCTCACATTTTAATTTCCTGTAAATATGTCGAACCTTGATAAAGATTGCAAACTTCCCTTAAGAGCATGCTTGTTGTTCCACAAAAATAGTTATAATGATAATTTCAGAATTTCTCAAGTTCCAAGATATTTTTCATAGACGAAACATTGTTTCGAACCGAAATCGATTTCTTCAGTTTTATTGCTTCATTATCAAATTAATAAGCTATTTCATTCCTTGTAAATACATTAGCTATTAATTAGAGAGAAAGCCAAGACCGACCATAATCACCTGAAAGCCTCCCTAAAACGACTGAATATCATTGATGCCGGCTATTCTTATAGTTCGAAACACAAGACATTGATCATATCTTTTGGCACTGTCGCAATTTTAACACGGAAAGAGCAACACTCGTAGAAAATTTGAGAGAATGTCAACTCTCAACAACAAACTCTGTAAAGCCCTTCCTGAAATCTACAGATCCGAAAACCCTAAATATACTACACAAGTTTGTCCAAGCAGGTAAAATAAACATGATTGTCCAATCAAACGTAACCGCGTATTAAAAAAGAGAAATAAATCAATTATTGTATAAAGTGTAAATATTTAGATGAAGTTAATAGAACATTACTGAAAGTGTAAATAAATCTTGTAGATTTGGGCACTTTAAACAATAAAAAACAATTAGAGAGAAATCGATAAAGTGATCAACCATCGGCAAAGTAACCGAACAAATTGCTCATTCCCACATTAATTCATCTTTTAGAGACGACGTGTTACAGAACGCAATGAGCCAAGTCAGAATTCGAGTAGCGAATGTGTTGATTGTGCTTTCGCTAATCTGCATCATCTGTACAGTGCTATCAAGCAGACAATTGAAGCAAGAATACGTGGACAGCATGGAGCACACGCGTACCGACTACCGCAAGCAGATCACCGAGGAGTTCCGTCAAAAAATGACCGAAGAGTCTGCACACAAGCCATGATTTTTATCCAATCGATAACTGTAGGATGATGAACCCAACAAAACCCTTAATTCTCGTAGGAGCCAGAATAAACTCTTATGAGTGATGTGGCGCATCACTGGTAAACATTTTCTTTTAATAGAATTCATGATATTTGTAAAGTATCTTTGTTCATTTGTGGATATTAAAACATTGAGAATATTTTATGTCGAAATGCTTGGAGTTCCAGTACATTCTGGACATTTTTCATACATCAGGTGTTTTTCCTTCTTCAATTTTTATGATTGAGAATGTAGAATTTGGGCAATCAACTATATGGGTGTTTTCGCCAATTATTGGTATGTTTTGATACCCTCAAAATTTTGACTTTGTTGAGGCTTCCCATATGGTTTCCGTACAAGATCTTTACAATCTATGTTCATTGAAATCTTGACTGTCCAAGATAATAATTATCAAATAGAAAAAAAACGTAGACTAATTCGATGACACCTCTAGTCAATTCTAATAATCAATTTCCTCTTATCTATTGGAAAATTTCTACTCCAAAAACAACCCATTTTTTCAGTTTTCTTACGCTTGCTACGTTCATTTTTCGTTTGTTGAGTCTTTAATGATTTTTTTTGTTTCGGCAGAAGAGATTTTTTTTTTCAATTTTCAAAACTTCCCGTTTCTTCGATTGAACACGATTTTAACTACCTCACTCTATTGGAGTGGTTCGTTGCTCAATCGAAAGAACAGCAAATTTCCATTTGAAATACATTTTTTTTTTTTTCATCTCGTATACCCTTTTGGGTCTTTACGATTTGTTCCCTTCCCACCCCCCCTCAACCCCCTGTACCGCATTTGGCGAAGGGAGGGAAAACTTCATTCGAGGGAAAAACCTGCCCTGGTACAGTCGTCCTTTTGACGGGACTACCGCTCGGCAGTGAAACTGTGAGATTAGAGCGCTATAAATTTTGACCGCCGGTGCCGGGAAGCGAACCCGGATCATTGCCATACGAGTCTAGCACTCTAACCGCACGGCCACTACCGTCGGTCCATTTGAAATACATATTGATAGCTATAATAAAATTACCTCTGTTGAAATAAAAAATGTCGCCAAAAACTCAAACAAGTGGATAATCGCTTTTTCTGTATATGGGTATAGTTTATGTTGCTAACAAATTAGCAATATGCTTCCGAATGGATTCTCTATTTTTGAAATTTATTATTGTTATTTTTTATTGTTTTGAATAGTGACCCCCATCTGAGCCCATATGACCACATATAACCTCCATATGACTCCCGTATAACCCCATGCGATCCTCATATGACCCCATATAAACCCCATATGACCCTGTGTCATCCCATATGAGCACCATTATGAGACCATATGACCTCAGATAACTTCCAAATGACCTGCTATAACCCCCATATGACCCCGTACAACTTTTATATGACCCCATATAACCCATATATGACCTCCATATGACCCAAAGCTTCATATAGTTATGCTGTTTTCATCATCTTTGCACTTCATCGAGAAAGCATCAAAAAAATCTTTTTGAGCCATGATTTCATTGATATGACTGTTAATTATTCCAGTTTATCATGAAAAAAATTTGTAAAAAAAGCTCAAACTATATGCTGTAGCTCGACAGTGATAGATGCGATCCGCATCATATTCTGATAGAATCAGGAGGCTATCAAGACCAATTTTTTAAGCCATGATTCATTTCATTCTGATAACAATTCTTGGACTGAGCATCGAATAATCTATTTTTGAAAAAATACCAATATTTCACAAACTCTAAGAATAATTCAACTGTAATTGGTGTCGATGAATGGAGCCTGTTAACATCTATATGCATGGAAAAATTCATGAAATTTCATCGAGCTCCTATAAAAAAAATTACGAAAAAAAAATTGAAAAAAGTACACACACATACATACGCCATCTACAAATCGCATATTTAGATTTTTTAGACCATATTTAGTTACTCTGACACGAAAATTTGGAAACTTAATGTTGAACGATTACAAAGCTTCCATTTAAAAGCAAAAACTAAAAAAATGACGTAGTGAGCGTCATAAAATTTTTTAAAAATGGCGAAAATTACATCTTTTTAATCATGAGTTAATTATTCGAGAAAGCTTCAAGAAAATTGAAATTTTCAAGGTACAGAACAATACCAATGATTGGCGAAAGCACCCATAAGATCTGAAGATATTTTGGATTTGAAAATTCTTGAAACGATGGAAATGTAATGTTATAAAATTGCTGATGGCTGCAGAGCTAGGTTTACAAATGGCATCAAATTTACTCAATTAGTTCTGATAGCTACCAGACTATTTACTATAATAAATATCGAATGGTTGGATTTCAATCGCCAAATCCCTTCCCATCTTTCTCAGTTCCAAAGATAATCATCAAAAAATTATTCGAACATCGAATTCACTCGTTTCATTTCACAGTGCCTTCAAATAAAAAACCTGATCACAGATAATTCATCAAAATCTGTTTATATTTACAATATATTATAACAATTCAATGAATTCCACCCCCTTCAACTTCAACTCCAACTTCATGTGTTTTGTCGACAGATGCAGCAAAAATGTGCAGAAATCTTTAACAAACCCCCTAGAAAATGATCTCGAGGGTTCAATTAAAAAAATTATTTTCTCTATTTATCTATCAGGCCAACTGGTCTCTACCGCACCCAGTAAAACAGGTTAAAGTCGGTCTAAAAATGATAGAATCATTAAATTGCCTCTCATTCACTGGGTTTGTAGAAACCACGACATTTCTCGTGGTAGATTTTGCTCGTGCGGCTCTTGACTACTTCCTCGACGTTCAATTCTGACTCAAGCATTCTCAGAGTATTCTGCTCTTTCCTCAGACTCTTCAGGATAAATATATCGTTGGGGTTATTGTCTTTCTGATCCTTCAACTTCTTGACCCTGTCTCGAGTTGTATTGAGACACTTTTTAATGGCTATCTCTCGTTGGGAGTGACCAGACTGAATCTGGTGGAATAAGTCCTTACAATTTGATGTTGCATCCACCTGGCCCTTGAATGATTCAGTGGGTATTGTTGTATTCAAAAGGTAGATTATTTTGTCGTCTATCTGTCGCATTTTTTGGAGTGCGTCCTGTAGAACATGAACCAATTAGTGATTGAGAAATAATAGATTCGTTTTCATAAAATTATCTAGAAATCAAGGATTTTGGAAAGAATTTTGCAACCGACAAACAGGTTTATTGACATTTATTCATACAACTACTCATTTACGAGATAATTCCATTCATCAATTTGTGCTTTTTGTGATTTAGAAAATTTAATTTAATGTTCCAAAAACTATTGCAAATAAATGGTAAACATTGAGATGTGTTCTGAAAGATAATTCTGTTCCGAACTTCACAATGCTGGGGAATTATTTTTATCGAGTTATTTAACCCTCGAGATGTTGATGATTTTGAAAAGATGATTTTCAGTGATTTTCTTGCATGATTAGTTTTTCATTATTTTGTGATAGTACTCTCTAAAACTACTAAGATCGAAATATCAAATGATAATGTTTGCGCAGAATTCCTCCAGCTGCAAAAATTAATTTCGAAACTTTATCCTCAACATACTCATTGCTGATTGTTAGATAGTTTACTGAACAAGAGGCACGAATTAATTAATTCATATTAAGCATCCATTTTCGTAATTTTCGTTTGCGTCGAATTTTATTCACCAAATAAGACTCATTGCAATCAAGTAATCAATTTCGAACACATCAACAATTTCGTTGAACTAATTCAAAAATCCTTATATCCCGATTTTCAAACAAATTTCTTTTTCATTATTCCTTAAATATCTTTAAAACTACGGAGTTCTCCAAAAATGTGATGAACATTTTTCGCAATGTGTAAAAGAGCATTTCGCGCAGTGTGAAAAAGTTTTTATGACATTTTTCACTAAACCCAGTAATTTCAGAGATATTTGCAATTTGCTGGTGTTGAAATTGGAGTATTCCATTTCGCATTCTCATACTCCGTTGCACTGATGAGAAGTAAAAAAATTGTTTTCCCAAAAAAAATACCTGAAATTCCAAGAAATCACCACATTCCATCGTCGAGGACGTTGCCATAATCGTTAAAAATGTAATGATTACGCTTACTTTGCCAATTCTAAGACTAGAGCACACCACGCTGAGGGTTTTGTAACCTCAAAGTTAAGATATATAGGGATGTGCGTACCGCATCGATACCTCATGATATCGATATTTTGAGCGTCGATTTCCGATATTTTGTATCGATATTCCTTCATCTAGAGGAAGTCGTAACAGAAATCATAGGGGAGATCAGCAGGGCCAATGTAAAGTGTTCAACAGCAAAATTCGTAGCGGTGGCGCATGGACTACGATGGAGCGTACGGAACTGTTGGTATGGTAGGGCCCGAGCATAAATTTGTCGATAACCGGAAAGGGGTTCTCAATACGGTAGCTCCTCGCATTTTGTAATAATTGTCAGGAATGTAAAATCGAACATATTATAATCAATAGTATAATGAATGCAGAATCTAATGATCTAAAAGTCTTTTCCTTTTTCTGGACATATTTATTATTGACACGTAGGTCAAAAAATTCATAGAAAATCCCAGCGCTGTCGCTGGAAAACTCTAGTTTTCCAGTGATTCTATTGAATAATTGTGCAGATTTTGTTTTTTTTTTACTATAGTAATGTTCGATTATATATATTTGAGAAAGGAATATGTGTCGCGCTCGCTGCCACTCATTGTCGTTTCCGTCGCGTTGGCACGTGCCCGTCCTCCGCCAAACTTAACGAGTGCGAGTGAGAAAGAAAATGGAGAAGAAGGAGAGAGAAAACATTCCAACTCGTTTGAACGGTTGGAACGTTTTCGTTGTTCTCCAGCGATCTACACATAATGGGATTAATTCAATAATAATAGATTAATGAATAAGATTTTTCGCAGATTATTGCGAGATTTAGATGAATGGTTTGCCTCCTTCAGTGACCATAAAAAATTGTCTCCAATCGACAATATCTCCCGATGGAATGGAACGATGTGAATGAATCAAGTATCAATTTGAATCTTTAAAAAATTAATCGAGAGTGAAAAAAAATCCGGGAATTCCACTCTGACATTTCTCTATTGTCTGTATTTACCGAGAAAAAAAAACGTTGTTCCTAGGAATCGATGTGTCTTTTTTAGGCAGCTGCATTTCTGAAATGCAATGAGCAAGCAATGTTAAAATTAAGTCATTTTGTAAAAAATTTCTAGTGACATGATCCTGAAAATCAAAGGAAAGTCTTGAAATCAGGAATGATGTCTGTAGGTTTCAGTAATATTTTCGCGGAAATTCGGGGAACACTTATTGGGAATTTTTATCGCGTTGCCGTAATACGGAAATTTCAAGGAATTTCGTCATTGCAAATTAAAAATTTCTATAAACTAGGCAAGACGCACGCTTCGCGCGCGCTAGTTAGGCGCGTAGTTCTGATACTGAATTCGACACTAAAGAACTAATGTAAATATTTGTATCTGTTCTTCAATCTAGAATTCTCAAATTCTTGATTGCATCGACTGATCCAACTCACTTGACAAATGCACCAATAAGAAACTACATCAAAATTTCAATTATCCCAGCGAATGGAACCAATGTAATGTCTATACACAGAAAAAAATTATTGATTCAAATCGAATATTAAGCCCCTAATCGAACCGATTAAGATTTACTTAAATCAAGAATCGTACCAAGTAGATTTCATTAATTTGAATTGAGTATATCCAAACATGTCATATTGATTTTGTTTCCATAGAAATATCAATTTTCGCCTAAAACTTTCCTAAGTCTGCGAAAAATGGCTGAAATAAAGTGGTTAATCTCTCAATTTGGGGCTTATTCAATGAGCTTCATGTCGGACATAGAATTTCTACGAGTTATTCTACGAGAAAGACTGGTGTCAAGGACAAAACACTGAAATAACAACTTTCCAATTTGTGACTTACAAAATCTGACACATAAACCATAAAGTCTACAATCCGCATCGTCACAATTGGAGGAACGAAAAATGCCTTTTAAGGATGACCTATTGATTTTCTCGCTGATTCGACTCAAAGGGCTAAAAAAATCCATCGCAATTTGAATTTTCAACTAACCCATGAAGGAATAAATGTTTGCCAAAAAATCTCATGAGTTTGCGAAAAATGAGCTTCACAACTGATATACGATTTCTACTGATAATCAAATCAGAAAATAATAATAAATAATAAATGAATGAATCAGGGTCCAATGCTGAAGTAATTCAATATATTTGCAGCTTAGTATGAAATATCTCTATAGATTCGGACAGAGATCGAGAAAATCTCGTCATTGAGAGGAAGAAATTGACACTTTTCAATACGTGACATGCTAAAATCGTTACATCATCATTTATAACAATTGATCTAGTGAATCGAATGGATAATATAAAGTATCAATATGAAGATCTCGATGAGACCTTCAAGTTGATGTATGACATATCCTCTCTAGTCAAATCTGAACCCTACATAAACGGTAAAAACTGTAATTTTTTACGTGTGACATAACGTAAAGAATGGTAACAATCTGCAATAATCGATATGAATTCCATTGAATCCGGATTGTCATCGATCTCGATGAGACCTTCAAATTGGTATATGATAAATCCCCGTTGGTCAAGTTTAAGGCGTCGATAAATGGTAAAAATTGTCACTTTTAAGGTGTGACATGACGTGAAAAATGGAAATAATCTGCAATAACTCAATAAAAATTGGAGTAAATAATATTTATCATACATCATTTTAAAGAACATAAAATGCGCTTCAAAATGGTGGATGAATATTCCCGTCTAGTCCACTGGGAAGTACCGAAAACCCCAACCGAAGTGAATTTTTAGAGTAAACCATAAAAATTCAATTTTCGTGTAAAAATTCACAAAAGTCGATGAAAAATGGAGATAATTGGATAAATCAAGGATCAATTCCAAGAGACTTTGATATATTTTGACCTAAGAATGAGACATCTTCCCAGATTCTAACACAAACCAAGCAAATCTTGCTATTTAAGTGGAAAGAAACGGAATTTTCAGAGTGTGACATGCTAAAATCGCCACATTATCGTTTATAACAATTAATTTAGGTGATGGGGCAGATAATATAGGATATCAATTTGAAGATCTCGATGAGACCTTCAAATCGACATATGATAAATCCCCGTTGGTCAAGTCTAAGGCCTCGATAAATAGTAAAAACTGTCATTTTTGAAGTATGACGTAACGGAAAAAATGGAAACAATCTGCAATAACTCGATGAAAATTGAAGCAAATAACATTTAGCATATAATATTTTGAAGGGCATGAAATTCCCTTCAAAATGATGTATGAATATTCCCGTCTAGTCTAATTAGAAGTACCAAAAAATCCATCCAAAGTTAATTTTTCAAGTAAACCATAAAAATTCATTTTTTGCCTAAAACTCTTGTAAGTCAATGAAAAATGGTCGAATTTGGATGAATCAGGTGTCAATTTGAAGCGGATTTAATAAGCTTTCAAATGAGTCTATCATGGATATACTAAGTTGAAGAAGAAGCCGCGAATTGACGCAAAAACCAATGGGTAACCCTCGGTTACGGACATTTATTTTTCTATAGGGGAAAATTTCAGTCGAATTATATGTGTACGTCCACGTGAAAAGGGCCCATTTGATCGCATCTAATTTCCGAGATATTCACGTTTTTCTCGCCACTCCATTTATCACATTGTTAAATTGATTTTTTGATCTTTTATACGGACGTCACACGGAGAAAAATAAATCGGTAAAAGTCTTGCGATCGCAAGGAGTTTTCCGAAGATCCCCATTTTTCATGCACGAAGAACAATGAAGCTTTTTGGAATCTTCGGGAAATTCTATCCTATCCTACTCAATTAGGAGCCGAGGAATGAATTTTCAAAAGCGCGGAGTAACCCCGAACGGTTCTCCGGCGTCGAGTGAGCGCGGAGGGGCTGCCCGATTAGAAAATTCATCCCTCCCCCCACCACCCCATCACCAATAATTGCGAGGAGGGATTGAACGCCACATCTATCGATCGAGAATAATATTCTCAATAAATGACAGTGGTTTCATTCCCCTAGTCTCTATTAGGAGAGGAGGAATGAATTTTCAAAACGCGCAGTAACTCCGAACAAGTTCTTCTCATTCAAAAATTAATTTCTCCCCTCCCTAATTGAGATGAAGGAATGAAACCAAAGTCTACAGATTGAGAATTGCATTTTTAATAAATGACATCGGTTTCATTTCGTAATCTCAGTTAGGAGCGGAGGAATGAATTTTCAAAAGCGCGGAGAAACCCCGAACGGCTCTCCGACGTCGAGTGAGACCGGAGGGGTTCTNCGCAGTAACTCCGAACAAGTTCTTCTCATTCAAAAATTAATTTCTCCCCTCCCTAATTGCGATGAAGGAATGAAACCAAAGTCTACAGATTGAGAATGACATTTTTAATAAATGACATCGGTTTCATTTCGTAATCTCAGTTAGGAGC